TGTTGTACAAAATCATGTTAAAATTTTCTAATGGTTTGAGTTTTCTTCAGTTAATATATATCATGACTGCTGTTTTGTGTTTTCCTTGGATTGTAGGGAAATGTGATAGACATGTTTCACAATTGTTGGGAACTTTAATAGCTTAAAAAATTAACCAATATAAAAATACAGTGTGATTAAAAGAGTTGTTTAGTGGGTAATTGTTGCTTCTCACCCTACAAGGTTTACTTGCAGAACAAATGATTATTGGTACTAAGTGATTAAACTTTTCTTTTATGGTGAATCTCTTCTATCACCTTCTTGTCTTTTGTCCAGTTTGCTGGATATCCCCCTGAGTCCCACTGTAACATCCCTCAATCTGCACTGTAATCACATCCCGAGGATCGAGGGCCTGACCTCAGCTTGGCATCTGCGGCACTTAGACCTTTCTTCCAATTGCATTTCTAAGATTGAGGGTTTAAGTTCGCTCACTTCCCTCAGGACATTAAATTTATCCTGTAACTTAATCACGAAGGTTGAAGGTGAGTCTGTAGTCACAGTTTTAGCCGGACAATTAACATTTCAGCTTCAAGTCATTATTCTTCATTACTGACGCTTGTGTTTACTCTGATGTTGCTGTCAGAGCTATATGAGCTGTAAAATCACTCAGGTGTTAATATCCCCTCCCTGTACCTCAGGACTGAATGGCCTCGTGAACCTAACAAGATTAAACTTGTCCTACAATCAGATAAATAACCTCACAGGTAAGTTCAATGCAGACTGAACAGCTTTTTCCTTTCAGCAAGTGAATGACATATCAACACTGTTTATTCCTGCTTTCCTCATTAGGGTTATTGTACCTTCATGGAACTGAGTACAAGCTGAATTACATCGGTCTCCATAGCAACCACCTGGACCATATTGATCACCTGCTGCAGTGCCTGCTGGGATTGCAAAGCTTAAGAGAGGTGACTTTGAGCCAGAATGGCAAAGGCAACCCTGTGTGTAGATCACCAGGTAGGAAATGAACATTTCATTGTGAAATACAGTAGTAAATCATCTTATTATTGATATATTAACTATAATATCTGCCATTTACAGATATACTGTGTTGGTACATTAGCTGACTACATGGTTCAATCAAAAGTTAAAATGTCATGTCTATGGTTATACTTTAATCTACCCTGTTTTCAAGACATATCTTTATCATATACATTAATAGCACTGCAAAAGTTGTAGTTGAACAGTCGACAGAAATTCTACAATATCATAATTGAATAACAATTTTTCCCTTCCACCAAGGTGGTTATGTTTTATTCTGCATTTGTTTGTTTGTTTGTCTGTCTGTTAGTTAGTTAGTTAAATTTAAATGTGGTTTCACAAGGAGACTGTGGAGGTATGCACTCTCTGAATGACATTCTAATCTAGTTAAGCAAATGTTTTTCTTGTGAATCGCTCACTAATCCAGAGGACAGCTGCTACATTTTGAAGTCTAGCTGACTCACCAACCTCCTGTTTATTGTATGTGATAAAAGCACAGTGAAAATTAGTGGCGCTCAAATCCACAGATACTGACAGTAACATCTGCGGTCTGTTTATCTCTCCATACCCTTCATGTCTCTTTTCTTTATAATTGGTTTGACAGCAGTTATATCAAGGTGAATAACCTTTTCAGTTATGCTGTGAACCCATATTCCATATTTTCCTGTCCATGATTAATTCACTCCAGTAGACGTTGAAAGCATTTCTTTAAATCAATACGGGCATACTTAAGGCATTCTTACAGCCTTGCTGTCAGTATGTGTAGACATAATGTTGGCGGGTACTCAGTTCCTATAAATGAGCTGCATCAATAGTGCACATGAATAAGAGAGGTTATTCATTTGAATACAGATTATTTTATTTCATGTAACATAACCACCATAACACCTGACATTTTAGCCAAAACAT